GGGGGTTTGCTAGCCTCTTCTCTCGCACAGCCTTTTCCCCGCAGCCGTTTTAGGCGAAACATGCACCAGGTGCCCCTTGATTTTCCCGCAGGCATGGCGCTCTTCGAGCAATCAGAGCTTTGCAGCCTTCCTGCAGGCGCAGGGGGTGCTGCAATGGCCTCTCCCTTAAGGGGCTCGAGACGGTCGAGGACCTGGCATTCGCTTACCCAGACCTTACCAGCTTCGACACTTTTTTGCAGAGCCTTTCGGAGTCGGACCTCAGCGATATGGGGGTCTCAGATGCACTTCACTCAGTCCAGGCAGCTTGCGCTCCGCAAACAAGGCACAGGAAGGACCCAGCCTTCGCGTTCCTTGCCATCCCTCCCAGCAGCCCTCACCCCTTCTGCCTCCCCATCCTCCTGGATGGAGCACTTGCCGCCGAAACTCAGCTCTGAGGTCGTCCAGGATCTGGTCACGACCTTTAAACCAACTATCCGGGCGAACTCCTGGACGATGACACCATGCCGTCCATACGCCTTCTCAGTCTCGTGCAACACAGCCTTCAGCCAAAAGAAAAGCTCAAATGGATACCCTGGCAGCTTCGCATTCGCTCCAAACAGTACTCCGAAATTATGGAGGCCAAGTCCTCTAAGCCTATGAGGACGGAGGCCCAGCTGCTCGCCTCAGCCATATATGACGACACTCCTGAGATGGCCGTATCCCATCTCCGCCTTTCCGTGTCCTGGCTGCAGCGCATCCAAACCGTTTTTCAGGAACGCCTGGACCTAGCCGACAAAAGATCCTTTACAGGTGCGTTGTCTGCCACTTCGGAGCCAAGTTTTCAGCCTACTGGTGGCAGGCCACCACGAGTGGGCGGCCTTATCACACGCATTGCACACCACGCGCTAGCCTTCGACAGCCATCAGCAAAGTCCTTCGAGCCCATGTAGCGCCTTTGTACAGTGTCTTGAACAGCCCACCGGGCAGCAATTGCTCTATCTCTCCCTCGGATGTGGCCAGCCTTCCTTCACAGCCTTGATTCCAGAGCGGTGCAGGCTAATACCGGGGGTCAACCTGCCGCTCAAGGCCCGCATCATCGAGGTCGGCAGTCGCCTTTCCCTTCCGCCACTGGTCCCGTGTCTCGCCAGAGCTGACGCCATGGCCGAAGCGGACAAAGTCGGCATCGGTGGATGGATCACCACCAAGCAAAGCCCAGGATGCCCAGAAATACATAGCTTGCTTTGAGACGCTAGCCCAGCTAGCCTGGCCATGACAGCCCGAGAACGCCAAGCCTTCTCGCAATTTTCCGTCTGCCTGCCCTCGCAGAGCGACAATACGCCTTCAGAGGCCGGGATTATCAAGCTCTTCACCACGAGCTGGCCGCTCTCGCAGTTCCTCCAGCTGATAGCATCTTGGTCATCCTGCCATGGCGTCCTTCACGTTGGAGGAGCACACAACCAATGGGCAGACGACCTCAGGAGGCCGTCTTCAGGGTTCAGCCACAGACCGCAAGAGCGTGTGAGGATCAGCCTTCACCGCCTTGCCTCCGCGGCCTCGCAGGCCACATGGTCTGGAGCCCCGGACACAACAAGCCCTCTGATGCCCAGACCTGACTGGCAGCTCTGCTTGAGCCCGACAGCAGCCCACCAAGCTGAAGAGCAAAAAGGACCGCTGCCTTCACGGTCGCATGTTCTGTTCCACTCTGACTGCTCTTTGGCCTTTCTTCTCTGCCTTGCTCAGGTCCACCTCCACCCCTCCGCGAGGCCCGCTGCTCGCACACGTCGAGCTGCTCCATCGCCACGAATCCCCTGCCTCAGGTGGTTTCGTCTAGCTTCTTAGCCTTCTGTATGCTTTAGGACCCTTCTAGGTCCCTCACCCCTTCGGTTACCCACCCGAACCCTCTGCGCGCAGGTACGTTCGTCTCCGAGCTCACCGACTTTCTGCTGACGCCCCACGTGAAGTTCTCACCAAAGCCTGCCCCAGGTAAATCGGATCGCATTTCCTGCAACCTTGCCTGCAGCCAATCAGCATATTGGCATTCGCCCTTGCACTTCTCAGCCTTGAGATTTGCCGCTGGCTCCCTTGGAGCCTAGTTATTGGCCTTCTAAGAAGTTTCACTGACTTCTCACAAAGCCTAGTCTAAAGGGGGAGTTTATGCCTTGGCTAGCCCTCTGAACCTTGGCACCTCCGGGCTAGCCGCGAAGCCTTACAGAATCCAACACGGTATAAAAGATGGCAGCAAGTGGTAGAGCAGTGCAAGCCTTTCTAGAATGTTTTGAGCTCCGAAGATTTTTAAACCGGAAGTGAAAGCATCAGACGTGTTTCTGTGTGGTCTTCACCCAAGAAATGAGACCAAGGGACCTTTCTGGTGGGCTCCGAAGCTTACAAACCGCAAGTGAATCATCAGACGTGCAGTTGTGTGGTCTTCACCCAGTAATCATACCAAGAGACTGTTTATGTGGGCTCCGAGGCTTATAGAAGCCGGAAGTGAAAGCATCAGACCTGTTTCTGTGCGGTCTTCACCCAAAGTGATACCAAGAGACCGTTGTCTTCACACAGTGGGAAGGATTCCGCAAGGGACTGCGGGTGCGCGGTTGGAGTGAGCGCGCGAGTGAATTCGGGAGTCAAGATGTGGTTGGGTGAGCGTGCGAGTGAATGTGCAAGTCAGGGAGTGCCACTAACTTTGCGATTGTTAACATATGTGTGATTTGAAGCAGTTCTCTGCAGACGCCCGAAGTGCAAACATAACGTGCACGCGCCCGTTCAATGTGTAGAGTGTTATATAGAAGTTTCTTGGAGTCGGTCTTCTTGCTTTCGATTGCCCTGACGGACGCACTTTCTTCTTTCCTTCCACATTGAGGGGCGTCTAGCACGTTACGATCTGCGCGTCTCAGTTTCCAGTTCAATTTTCGGAACCTCGGACAGCTGAGTGATTGAGTAAACGCGGCAAGGTGTGTGAGTACGTGCAGGGGGAATGACTTTGGCAGCCAAGCAGCTCCGCAGTTCCGCGCAAAGCCTTGGAAGCACCTGCAAGAGACCGGGCACTTATTGTCCTGTTTGCCATGAGTTGACTTGAGCTGGAATGTGTCCCCTGGTTTTGGGTCCGAAAAATGGGTATGGTTTGGGGTCCGCGGGGGGTGGCCTCCCCAGTTTTCCGAGACACGGATCGACCGGCGGTTGATGAGGGCAGGGACAACCACATTGGCGTGCGCATCGCAGTGACCTTTAACGCTGCAGACCTCTGCCCCCTGCAGTGGAGGATTGGTGAGCGCCTACGGCGTTCATGGGATGCCGGCGTGATTGCCTTGCATCACCCGCAAGTACAGCCGCAAAACAAACTTTACGCACCCTGCTCAGTACAAAGGCCGCTTTCGGATATACCTGCCGCTATCAGAGGAGTCGCTTGGATTGCGGCCCTCAGCACAGTTGTGCTTGCAGCCTGCAGGACTGTTGACGGGTGCTTTAGCACGTGTCCGCCAGTGGAACCAGCTCAAAGGATATGACATTCAGGCCGCCCTGGCAGTCTGGCTGCCAGGACCTCGGCAAAGCAGTCTCTGGTACCCGGAGCACTTCTATCTGCTGGGATATTACCGATTTGAAGGCCGCAACGCGGAAATCGTGCGCCGTGACTTTGCAGATATTGCTGTGGCCCATGACCAATATGACCCGTACACCCTTGGCGCAAACCTTTCCTTCGAGGAATGGGTGCAGGCTCCTCGACGCTTTCGAGAGCAGGGCGGGTTGCCTGACGGCCTGCGCTCTCCATTTTTGGGTTACAGGCTCGTTCCCGTGTACCACACAACTTCACCGGCCCTCTTCTTCAACAAGCCGCAGCTTTCGGGACGCTACCAACGCAGGGAGTGGGCCTTTTTGTACGCTCTGAATGATGAACACATGGCGGACGCAGATAGCTGGCGGCGCTTTCTGCACAGAACTGCCGAGCGGTATTGGGCGGAACGTGAGCCAGCAGTATGCATATACTCCCCTAGGCACGCGTGCTCCATTTCATTGGAATGTGTGCCCTGGCCATTCGGCCGTGCGGCTGCTGCAGTTTTCCACTATGATGGCTGTGAAGCTGATGTATGGTTCCGCTCTTTTCTGCTATTTGGAGGGCCGGTCATTGGTGCGCGTGTCTTGGCCATCCGGCCATGCAGCTTCAATGCATGGAGATCTCGGATGTGCGGAAGGGAGTGCGAAGTCAGGTCCCGATGTTTGTTTTCTGGCTTTTTAATTGCGCTGCTTGTGACTGAGTGGGACCCGCAATAGGGCCCTTTTTCCGCTTGGTCCATCGATTCTGTAGATTGATTGCCGACTCAGACCGTGGAAAGCGGCCGGCAAAAGTCCTGCGTATGAAACTGTTCTGCATGACACTCTTGCTGAGAAGGATGACATAGACATAGATAAATTCAATACGTGCGTTAAAGGGCCAGTTTCACCAGGAACTCTCAGATTATTTTGCGGTGGTCGAACTACTATGCAACTGGTTGTGAATGACACAGCTGACCTGCTCGAGAAACTTCTGAGGCTTCTAGATTCCCCTTGGGCTATCGTGTTGTTGACATGTTTCTGTTCGGTTTGGTCGTTGTAGTGGCCGTGAAATGTGCTGGTCATCTTGGATGTTTTTGTCTTTGTGCGTGGTCGTGGTGGTCGTCGTGGTCGTCCTGGCATCTTCGAGATGTACATGGTGGTTTTTAGCTGTAGCTGTTGGGGATTTGCGCTGAGATAATTAGGAAAGTGGACTTGCCGCTGCTTCCAGGGGCAGGGATCGGCACATCATTGACCGGAGAACGAACGGACTCTTACTCAGACGAGGGCGTGCAGGAAACTTGTCATCGCACTTGCCCAATGTTCCCTCTGGGCAGCAGAAGCGGGGTCAAGTCAGAAATCCATGCAGAGATGTGGTGAAAATCGACAGCCCGGTGTGCAACGACGCATTTTCACATGCCTGGATTTTGGCACTTGACGATACCGGCTCAGACAGCAACATAGACTGTGCAGACGCCTCCAACAACGATCGCGTGGATGATGCTGGCCCCACTGCTCGCAGCCGCACTCAGCTCATGCTGCGTCGCAATTCCAGTCACTTTCAAGGCGCAAGAGTTTGTTGAACAATGCCGATCTTGTGCACAGAACTCTTGATTTGCGCCACAAGACTTCACGCCCCTAAACCCTTAAACCTCTAAACCCCAGACGCTTCTCTGCTTTTCGATTTCGCCAGGCTGATTTTCGAGGCCGAAAGGTGGCCCCCGGAGGTCCACATCTTGTCGGAAGCTTTCAAAGCTGGGACATCCCAAGTGCCGTTGCCACCTGTAAGCAGGCAGCGTTTCTGTCGGGACCCAGAGATCCCAATACCGCTTAATTCATAATTAAGGCATTTACCTTAAATCATAATATAGATTAAGGTATATTCCTTAATTACGGGGTATTGGGTTCTTTGGGGAGTGCCGGAAGACTGCAGACTTTTTTTGGGGTGGTGGGCAACTGTAAGATTCGGCCAGTGCACGAAGGCTTTGGGAGACGACGACGCAGATGGAATTTATGCAGCTTTGCTTTTTCTTATGCCGAGTGCTTCCATATGCGAGACTTTCAAGATCCGTTGCGTCACCACCAGGCAGCAACTCTGGATTTGCCTGCGGGCTCCTACGAGAGTCTCGCTTTAAGGGGTGGCCCCGAGGGTGTCCGAGCGGTGCAGCAGTGCAACTTTCGGTGGTCGATGTAAATCTTTGAAGTTGTTACCCCTTAAGTGCATCACTTGCGACTTCAACCCAAACAGCATGGAACTTTCCCTGAGTGCCTCAGGTTCAAGTTTCTCAATGGCAGCGCTTGGGAGCATGCGGAGATTTTGCCGATGGCATGTAGCACTGCCGACCCGTTCGCTACTAGCATTCTTTGGAGACACCAACCCTGTTTTGCACCGACTGTGTAGGCCATCTACTGAGGCTTACTACTATGGCTACGGTGATGAGAATGCTCACCGTCGTCTCCACATTGGGGAGAATGCGACCTCCGCTAACATGCACGCATGCTTCAACGAAGCTTGTCTGAAATTTCGTCATCATGTCCCGTAGGCTTGTCCCACTACACTACGCCCCCTTAAAGTACAGAACATATGTACAGGTGTAAGTTCAATGTGCGATATAGGCTAGTAGAGTTCTTGTGAAAACAGAGCATTGAGGGGTGTGCGTTGCGGCGTCTTTGGAGGGACGCACCGGCTCATCTCAGATTCCCATTGTTAACGTTACTTCTGTTAACTTCGCCTCTTAGTATAGCATTTTGGGCTCTCTGCTTCTTCTTGTTTTTGCTAGCATTGCCATTACTTCCGCAGCTGTGCTCAAAGCTGTAAACCACAGCTGTGTTCAAAGCTGTAAACCCAAAGCCCAGGAATGTGAACCTTGCGATGGTCTTGCTCTCTGCAACACGGCTGCACATGACAAGCCCAAGCTTGTCATAGAACCATAATTGATGCTAGTTCGTAATACCACTTGTGAAGACCTCTAGACCCTAACTCAACCCTAAACCCTCGTTATGGAGAGTTCTGTGGGTGGTTGTCAAAACTATGGTGTTTTTTTGGGTTCCCTAATTATTTGGTGTCGTATGTTTCCAAGGACCCCCAAAATGGGATGCTAATATTGACAGCCACCCCTGTCGTCTTCCAATAGGTTCGGCCTTGTAGTTCACCCCAGAGGCTGAAGCCCTTAGCCGGAAGTCTTAAAAGGGCTCCAAAGGGGTCTATAGGGCTCCTTAAAGGGATCTATAGGGTTCCTTACAGGGATCTATGGGGTTTAGGGTTTAGGGTACTACTTGGAGGGTCAGGGGACTTTGTAAGTAAGGTTATAAGTCCCCTAACTGGGGCTATAAGTATTTGTAAGTATAGGTACCTTACTTACAACCCTAGTTACTAAGTCCCATGATCCTTCTAGTAGAGGCGAGAACCCAAAGCAGGACCTAGACACTCGGAGTACAAGAACCCAAACTTGGAGGCTATAAGTGGAGGTATATGTCCGTCATTGTGGGTTAGTACTATATTTATCCTGCTTAAGACCTTCCCATTAAACGGAAACGCTTTCATGGAGAAAGCAATAAGGATTATCCTAAATTCAAGAAACCCACATGTCTGTTCTGCCCAAAACCCTAAACCCTGAAGCTCTAAACTCTAAACCCTAAAACTTTAAAACCCTAAAACCGTCAACCCTAAACTCTAAACCCCAATGATCCCTTTAAGGAACCCTATAGATCCCTTTAAGGAGCCCTATAGACCCCTTTGGAGCCCTTTTAAGACCCTGAGCCAAGGCACGGCTTTCGATTGTCCTCCTTACTACGGTTTGAAGAGCAGCGCATGGGAGCTCACCGGTGAGTCAAGGGAGTCCGGGCTGCAATGGCCATTGGAAGGGGACGGGGCTAGGGCTGCTAGGGTTTGGGGTTTCAGGTTTAGGGTTTAGGTTCTTGGGTTTTGGGGTTTCAGGATGCCAGGTTAAGGATTTAGGGTTAGGGTTGGGTACTGCCCCCACTCAGTAACATTTGAATGATGTTGTGAATATGGGCGTTTTAGGCCCGTAAAAGCAGCCCTATTGTAGACTGTTACACTGTGGGGGCAGTACTTAAAGGATCATGGGGCTTAGTAACCAGGGTTATAAATAGGGTAACTATACTTATAACTCCAATTAGGGGACTTATAACCCCACTTACTAAGTCCCCTGATCCTCTAAGTACCCAAGGTTAAGGGTTTAGGTTGGAGGGGGGAAGTCGGCCGGCCAGAGCAGGCCCAGATCTGAAATCAGTTGCCCTAAGTTCTGAATCCTAAACCCTCAATTCTGAACCCTCGAGGCGGGAGAAAGGTGCTCAAAAAGAAGCTCTGAACCCTACCTAAACCGCAAATAACCTCCCTTCTTAGGGACTTATATAAGGAATCATAATAAGGAACCCTGGAAGGTAGGTTATTCAGGGTTAAGGTAAACCCTATAAGCCCCATACCCTTTTAGCTTCGTCAACCGTCAACAAGCACCCAGGGCACATGCTGCGACGCACTCAGCGGCGGTGCCTTGGTACAGGAACGGGCCCCGTCGTATGCGGTCATCCAATGGTCCCCAGACCTTCCAAAATCCCTGAATTAAGGAGTATACCTCAAGTTATAGTAAGATCCCTAATATGATTTAAGGTATTGTATTGCTTAATCAAGGAGTTTCGGAAGTTCTGGGTCACCCACTGCATGAGAATGGCGAAGATACCTGGGGGAGGGGACTTGTTGAGTAAGGTTAGCAGTCCTTATAGTCGGGTATAGCTGCTCATACATCATCAGCATAGTTACATTATGCATGACTTTAAACAACTAAGTCCGTATGATCCTTCAAGTAGTCTTGAGGCGAAGGTTCGATTGTGGTGCGCAGCGCGGGGTATTCTGACGGCAACTACGCCCAGTTCTGGCTGAGACCTGGCTGCGCAAGTCAAAGATCTTCTGATAGTAGCTGTTAGTGAACTGTTGCTGGCTGTTAGTACCTAGCTTTTTCTAAACACAGCTGGGAGAACAACCCTAAATCCCAAACCCTAAACCTCTCGATTATGTATGGTTAAACCTTCAGGGTTTGAGGGATTCATCAACACTTTACAGGGATTCTTCCAAATCTTCCTGGGAAGCATCAACAAAGGATTTTTGAGTGAGTCCCTGCACGACTTTGGCGAACCCCAGTACCCACCGGGATTGATCACATCCGGGTTTCTCGAAATCATAGTTGGGCTCATCAAATCTTAAGTTGCAACATTCATGAAGCTCTGACAGGGATTCCTAAAAATTCTTGGTTTTAGATTCATCAAAACCTTATTGGGCTTCATCAGAATCGATGTTGGCCAGTGCGCGGCTTCTTCAATATCTTTCTCTGGGGTTCATGAAAACTGTTCGATCAAATTTTGCTGGTGGCTGGGTTCTAGTGTCTTGGACTTGGGGTTCTATAAGGGCTCTATATATAAGGGTTCTACATAAGGGGTCTAGAAGGGGCAGGGGCTGGGTTCAGGGCGTAGCATTGCGGGGCTCAGAGCAGGGCAAGGGTTTAGGGCGTAGGGCACTTTCCCACTGCAACGGGGTTTTAGGGTTTAGGGTTCAGGGTCTGGGGCTTAGGCTTTAGGGACTGTGTTTTGGGATCCAACGGGCGGGCAGATTGCTTATTCGTTTCAAGCCTAAACCTACACCGAAACCTAAGTCTACATCTCAAGCCGACGGCTTCTCTGACCCGACTCCCATAAACCCTAAACTCTAAGCCCTAAATCCTAAACCTTCAGTCCTAAACCTTAGATCCTAAACCCTGAGTCCTAAACCCCTAAACCCCGAAGTCCTAAACCCCCAAACCCCTAAACCTTATGGATCCCCTTTAAAGGAGCCCTGAGCCTCCATAGATCCCTTTAAAGGAACCCTAAACCCACCCCCTACTTCCAGGAAAGGGGATCTCCTCTACGCGACGGCTGCTCGGGGGCTGACTGTCGTTGAGTTGCGACCCGGATCCCTCGGCGAGTACATCGCTACCTGGGATGCAAGAGCAGGGGGGAACTCTATAGGGTTTAGGGTTTAGGGTACCTTTAAAGGGGTCTATAAGGGTTACTATACGGGCTATTATGGGGATATGGGGTCTACTTGGAGGATCAGGGGACTTAGTAAGGGTTCTGAGTGGGCTCCTTCAAAGGATCTAAAAGGGTTCCTTAAAGGGATCTATAGGGTTTCGAATCCGGGATCCTGGGGCGAGTACATCGCTGGCTCCATGCAAGAGCAGGGGTTTGGGTTCAGGGCCGGTTTAAGGTTTTCAGGGTTTAGGGTTTTAGGGTTTAGAGCAGGTTTAGGGGTTCAGGGTTTAGGGTTTAGAGACGGTTTCGGAGGGTTTAGAGCAGGTTTAGGGTTTCTGGGGCGAGCCAAGGTCCGGATGACTGCCTAGGAGTGAAATCAGCTGAACTCAAAAAGCTAAACCCCAACTGAAAGGATCAGGGGACTTAGTAAGTAAGGGTTCCTAAAGGGCTCCTTAACGGGATCTATAAGGTTTCCCAAACGGATCTATAGTGTTTAGGGTTTCGGCGCTACTTGGAGGAGGAGGATGAGGGGACTTAGTAAGTAAGGTTATAAGTACCCTAATTGGGGTTATAAGTATAGATCCATTATTAATAACCGTAGTTACTAGGTCCCATGATCCTTTAAGTAAGCCCTAAACCTTAACCAACAAGGGCCGGCTTGTCTGAGACCTCACTGGGTCTGTTTGCTTGGACCAACTCATGGGACTTAGTAACTAGGGTTATAAATAAGGTAACTAGGCCAGTAACTTCTTATAATCCCCCAAATGGTACTTATAACCTTACCTACTAAGTCCCCTGATCCTCCAAGTAGCGCCGAAACCCTAAACCCTATAGATCCCTTTAAGGAGCCCTTTAAGAACCGTAAGCTACCCCGAAGCAAGGTGAAACACACGGAGACCTTTGACACTTTCGTGGACTCTCAGCTCAGCCTGGTCTTGTGGAGCTGCCTGTGTGTGCGTCTGTGCAATATAGGGGCCGAAATAATTACCTATAAAGGGGCCTTTGTAATCTAAGGTTTCCGTTAAAGCTGTCCATAAGGGGTTACTTTTTGGGGTATTATGGGGGTTTTAGTGCAAAGGCCCAAGTAATTACCAATACTATTTTGGGGGTTCCTGATTATAAATAGCCATCGTTTATCGCCCCAAAACCCTATTCTAATCATTAAGGCGTTTATATTACGACACTGTCCGGCCAATTCAGCGAAGTTCCGCCGCGCCCCAGTGATGCTTCCACAGGTTCCGTTTCCATTCCCTCTACTTGGAGGGCCAGGGGACTTAGTAAGTCGTTTACAGTAGGGTTATAAATGGGGCAACTCCATGTAGGGTACTTATAACTCTACTCATAACCTACTTACTAAGTCCCTTGCCCCTCCAAGTAGAGCCTTTGCCGCTCCCGACCCAGCTCCTCAAAACCCACGTCTCGAGCCAGCCCTAAACCCTAAACCCTTCACCCGAAGCCCTTAACCCTGAACCCTAAACCCTAGACAGAGGATTCGTCCAAGCTGGAAAGCTATCTGTCCGCCGTCGCCGCTGGCAATCTGACTCCTGTCTGGAGCATTTTTGCAAAGCCTTTCCAGTTTGATAATATCCTAAACCCTAAGCCCTAAGCCCCAAACCCTAAACCGGGGTTATACACATATATATATATATATATATATACACACACATATGCATACATACCCCAAAAACCCAGACCCCGAGACTCCAGACTCAAAGCCCCAAAGCCCAAAAGCCCTGCACCGAAGACCCTAAATCCTTAAAATCACCTGAAGCCCTAAAGAAACCCTTGCAGAGCCCCAAACCCTAAACCCCTGAACCCTAAAGAACCCCTAAAGGAACCCTGAAAGGAATCCTACTTGCAGGATGTAAGGTTATAAGTCCCCCAATTGGAGTTATAAGTATAGCTACCTTATTAATAACCCTAGTTACTAAGTCCCATGATCCTTTAAGTACCTTAAACCCCTATAGATTCCTTACGGAACCCCTTAAGGAGCCCTTTAAAGTTACTAAGTCCCATGGTCCTTTAAATGACCCTAAACCCTAAACCCTGTAGATCCCTTTAAGGAACCCTTATAGATCCCTTTGAAGACCCCGTTAAGGAACCCTCTAGTCTAAAGTTACGAAGTCCCATGATCCTTTAAGTAGAGCCCTGGAGCCTCACCACAGCTCGCTTCCTTCGGCTGAGGATCCTCATGGCCGCCGTAGACGAGGCTTCGGCCATGCTGAGCCAAGAGGCCCGTAATCAGGTTTTTTGGGATAGTTGCGTTTTTTTGGTTTTTAGGGTTTAGTTTGTTTGCTTTTGTTTTCCGGGTTAGTTTTCTTAAGACTCTTTGGGGTTCAGGTTTTTGTTTTTTTTGGGTTTAGAGCTGTTTTGTTTGTAGGGTTTAGGGCTTGGGGCTATATGCAGAACTAGAGTCGCAGTCGTTAAGGCTACTGATCACACTGTAGGCCTAGGACGTAGGGCAGAAGGGAATCTGGGGTCCGAGGAATTCATATAAGGGTGAACCCTAAATCCAAAGCTCCAATAGACTTCAGCCAACAAATGCCAAAGCCAGCTTTTAGATGTGCGTTGGTGCTTCAGTCATACACGCAACGACTTGTCCCAAAATCTAGGAGCAGTAAACAGACTGCCGTGGCTGGCTCGGCATGGCCGTCATTCTCTCCATGTTGTATGCGGCGACCGGGCCCTGTCTCTCTTTTTCATGATGGTGTGCTTGCTGGCAGAACTGCTACCCTGCCGTCGGAGACCGCATCACGCAGCTACCCTCCGTATATGTGAGCCCGGACACCCAGAGAGTGTGCACCGAGCCGTTCTGAATGCAAGAAAGAAGATTTGATCATTTCTATTGTTAGCATGTGTACCCCTGCCCGCAGGCAAAAGCATTGATAGCTACCTGTGGGGCCGAGTCCATCCAGCAGATGGCGTTCAGGCCAGCTTCCTGCAGAGCAGTCGACCCAGCGCAGCCAGCCTAAAACCACAGCCACCCCTAAAACTGAAATAGATGCTGGTTGCATGTCGGACGTGCCGTTTCTGCAGGAGCGCTAGTGTCGCTGAGCGCTTGATTCGCAGATACCCATTCAAACCAAAATGAAGCGAGTTTCTCTTGCTCTGGGCCTAAACCGTGGGCAAAAGCGAGACCCCATAAACTCCTAAACTCCTAAACTCTTAAACTCCTAAACTAAACCCTAAACCCACTTTTAAAGGCCCTGTTTGGGGCAAGCTCAGACCCACCCAAAATCCAGCGACAATCGACTCAGACTCTGAGCTCAGATGCAACGTAACTACAAAGAGACTCCAATATCCCTTAATTAGGGAATATACCTTAAATCATACTAAGGATCCTACTATAATTTAAGGAATATTCCCTAATTAAGGGATATTGGAGTCTCTGGGTACTTCATTAGGTTGAAAAACACCACGGGCCCCACTATAGAACCCAGATGGTGGGAGTGGAATTCTAGTGGTGCAGTGACCCTGAAGAGTGCACCGCTTTCTGAAGCCACCGCGACATGTCTAGCCCTTTAAGAACCCTAAAGGGGAGACCCTACTTAAAGGATCATGGACCTTAGTAACTAGGGTGCTATAAATAAGGCATCTATACTTATATCCCCAGTTAGGGTACTTATAACCTTACAAAGTCCTCTGATCCTGTAAGTAGCGCCGAAACCCTAAACACTTCTGTTCCCTCTGAGGAACCTTATAGATCCCTTGAAGGAGCCCTTTAGGAGCCCGTACTTCCTAAGTCCCCCGATCCCTGTAAGTAATTCAGAGAGCTCCCGGAAAGCAGGAGCTCCTATGCGCTCATCGGGCAGAAGGGGGGGAGTGCCTTGTCCGAGGCCCGCTGCATCCTTCCACGGTCAGCTTGTTCACGGGGAAGGGCTTAGGCTTCGGGGCTTCAGGGCCTTAGAAATTTAGGGTGTAGGGGTTTAGGGTGTAGGGGTTTAGGGTGTAGGCTTGCAAATTAGAGTTGAGCGCTGAACCCTCGCATCTTAAGTTTTCGCTCGAATGCCTTTAGGAGAAGTAGCGTCAGGTCTCCTGTCACTCCTCCTCCAGGGTTCCGCTTCAGGTTGGTTTGGGTTAAGTTGCCCCGGTCACTGTGCCGGCTCCCTTTCCTTCAGCGTCGCCCTTTTCTTTGGGGGCTTTTGCTCCGGGTCTCTGGTGACCCTCTTCGTCGTCCGTGGCTTCCTGCTGCGACCTGTTCCTTTTGTGCCTGCTGCTCCTGAGCCCTCTCCGGTCCTCAGGCAGCCAGCTGATCTGCGACTTCGGGCTTACGCCGTGCATGGGCGATCCTGACCTGGCCCAGACCATTGCTGAGGTTCAGGGGGCCCTTGAGCGGCTCCGCATTTCCGTGCAGAATCAGGCCGACAGGTCTGAGTCACCTTGGGTTGTGGTTAGTGACCCTAATCCTCCCCTTAGTGGTTCATCCTCGTCCGAGGCCCATCCCCCTAGGGTTGGTGGTATTGGTTCTAGTCCTCTGCGCCGCTCTGACATCAGAGCTGCTTTCCCGGCCTGCCCTGCTCATTGTCTTGAGCTCTGTGAACGCCTGGCTCCTGTTGGCAGCCTCTCTGCCGCTGACCGCGCGCGGCGTGCTTGGGTTGCTGGGCTTTGGGCGAAGGAAGTGCTGTCTGGAACGGTGGCCACTCCGGATCCGGCTCCTGTCATTGGTCTGCGCCCTGCTGTGTACATTGTGCTTCGCAGCGAGCGCCTCTCTGGCACCGCCCGCTTTTCCAGCTTCCGCTCTCTCCGAGCTGCCGTGGGGCCCTTGGAGAACACCGACACCATCTGCCAAAGCTTTCCCTCCCTTGCTGAGGCCCGGGTTTATTGCATCGCTGCGGAGGTTGTCTTCCCGCCGGCACAATGAACAAAGAAGCTTTGAGTATCGATGGCCAGACTGCGGGGACGATCTGCATCATCAACTGGCCCCCTCTCTCCGATGCCGAGGCCCGGACGAAGTACCTGGCCTGGCCCCTGCTTCACCGGCCTGGGGCCTTCCTTGTCGCTTTGCCTGCTGCGCTTCAGGAGGATGTGGCCCTCTTAGCCTCGGGTTCGGGTTCTTCGGTTATAGGCCCTTCGGGTTTAGTCTCCGTGCCTGCCGTGGAAGAGGCCGAGGGCGGGGAGGATGTGCTGGCCGGTTTCGACGTTTCTGTGCTCCTCCTGGACTTAGAGGACCTTGCCTTGCAGCATATGAGCCCGTTCGATCCTGTCACCGAGTCGGGCATAGCTACAGGTTTCGAGCCAGATGCCCCACATGTTATGCCCAGCCCAGAGGCTCTCATGAGGTCGGCCATTGCTTGGGTTGGTGGCGACCAGGGGCCGGGCTTGGCTTATGTTACGGCACAGGAGGACTCAGATGCTCCGGAGCCTCCGGAACCTCAGGGGAAGAGGGCTGCAAAGGCAAAGCCTCGGGTTACCACGGCCCAGCTGGCCGAGCAGGTCAACCAGCTTGCTGCCATATTGCCAAACCTCGTCGAGCAAGTGCGTGTGGTCTCGGAGAGACAGGCTGCTCAGGCCTCAGCGCCTCTTCCTGCTCAGCCAACCCCGGCCCATCAGAAAGACTTTCCTGCTGTCGGTCCGACCGACCCTTCGGGGCAGCAGCCCTTGGCTTCCTTAGCAGCTGCTTTGCCTGCACCGGCCCGCTTGGGTGCCACTCCCAAGATAGCCCCTGCTCCAGCAGCGCCGCCGCCGGCTGCGGCCCCAAAGTCATCTGCCTTGCCTTCCTCCTCGGACTCGCTGGCCACGGCGATAGCTCAGCAGGGCCAAGCCTTAACTCTGCTCGTGTCCCACCTGGCCTCGCAAGGCGATGCTCTGGACCTGTCGACGGCGACAGCCGGCCTTGGCTCCAAGGGGTCGGCAAAGAGGGAGCGTTTACAGCAAGAACTGGCGCAGCGGAGCAGCACGTTCTTTCTGCAGGTGTGCCAGAACGCTTTCAAGCGCCTTTACCCGGCGGCTGCGGTTCCCGGCTCTCTGGCCGAGATCAGGGACGATGGTCGCCTGAGTTTCGTGACCTACATGGAGCGGTTTGGCGGCTACGGCCAGAGTCGCGACCTGGCTCTGGTCATGCATCAGCTCTCTTTCGTCTCGGACTGCCTCCTTCAGGACGACGTGCATGGTGCTCGCGAGCATTTGGCGTTGCTTTTGGCATCTACGGAGCAGGCGGCACAGGACCGCAACTGGACCCTGGCCTACTTGCTGTGTTTGCTCGACGATCCGGCTCCTCAGGTTTATGCCTCCAGGGCCCAGGGATCTGCAAGCCGACTCCGAGTTTTCACACCTCTCGTTTCCCCGTCCTGGGGTTCCACCGCCCTAAGCTATGTTCGAGAGATAGATGCCATGGCTCAGCGTCGTCGGGACACTGTCGCCCCACGTGGGCCCACTCAGGAACCTGCAGACGATGGCGCTCCCGCTCCCAAGCGCCGGCCTCGCTTCCCCCGCAAGCCGAAGCAGGAAGCCCAGCAATGACTGCTGCTAATACTCTGCCTTCTGGCCTCGAGCCCACGCTTCTTGCACCACGAACCCCGGCGGATGTGTCTTGCCCTTTGAATCTGCATGCTTCCCCGTCGGGTCCCTGCCTGGACTCTCCCGACCCCTCTTCCGCCGCTTCGCCGGCTTCGGGCTCTGTCGGTGTTGGGCCCGGGCAGCCTTTGCAAGCCAATGCCTTCTCTCCTTCTGCCGCCCTGTCCTTTAGACGATGGGCTTTTTCTTTGGCACCTCGCCTTGCGGCCGGCAAGACGGCCTTCTCGGCTTTTTTCAAACGAACTCTGCATCTGAACTGGTGCGGCCAGCCGGCCCCAGATTCGGTCTTTTTGCCTTTGCCGGTCCCCTGCCCAGGTGCTTTTAGGCCCCTTGGGCATGCAGGCCAGCGTCGTAGACAGCGAGCAGCTTGCCAGGTTGCACTTCATGCCGTTGTGGTTGCACTCAACTTTGTTTACAATGACTGTGCTTACGTGCCACTCCGGCTTCTTGCTCGGCCTCCCAACTCTGCCCAGGCCCGCTGCCTCCGCTACCTGAGGGGTATCGTTCAGACCTTCGGTGACGTCAAGGATGGGATCTTCCCTTTCGAGACGGGCCGCCGCATGAATTCATTGATTGCTCGTCTCAGCGAGGTCTCTCAGAGGCTTACGCTTTTGGGTCCACTCGGTGATCCTTACTCTCATGTGCCTGCCGGTCTTGAGGTCCCGACCTGCAATGACACTCCGGACCTTGAGCCCTACCGGTCACTGTGTGCAGAGCGCCTGCGGCTTTCTGGTCGTGCCAATTGGGACCCTGCTGGTCTCTTCCCTCCCGACCTTGCCATGGCTTATGCTCTGCCTTCTTCGTTGTTGTGCGGCCGCACTCCTCAGGATGATGAGTACCCTCGGGCTGATCGTGAGTCCACTTCCGAGACCCTGAGCCTTGCGCTTAAGTGGTCCTCTTTGGACCTGCTTCACCTTGAGCCCTCCGAGGAGCTCCCACCTTACGAGTTCACTCGCATTTTCAACGCATACAAGAGTCTTGCAGTCGATCGCCAGATCGGCGACCGGAGAGGTCGAAATGCTGCCGAAGCCCGGCTGCCCGGGCCTTCTCGATGGCTCCCGTCTGGCGAGAGCCTTTGCGCTTTGAGTGCCGATGCCAAGAAGGAGGCCTTGCTCCTGTCCATGTCTGACAGGCGAGATTTTTATCATCAGATTCTCTCGCCTTGGGCTCGGAATGTGACGAACAGGTTGTATCCCTCTTTCTCTCCTGAGCTCTTCCGCGGCACACGCGCCTACGACAGATTGTCCGCCAGGTGTTCGGCTTCTTATCTCCCGGCGGCTGGTCTCTCTGCTGCTGAGCCACCTCCTCTGCCTTCCTGGCCGCGGCTGGTTCAGCCTTGCTTCCGAGCTGTTCTGCAAGGAGACCACATTGGAGTTGAGCTTGCTGTTGCCTGTCACGAGCGGTTGCTCATTGGTGCCGGCCTCTTGTCTGAGAAAAATCGGCTTTACGGTGCCAGCCCGGTTGGGCCTGGTCCTTTCTGGGACGCTTTGGTGATTGATGACTACTTCTCGATTGCTCGCGTGCCACGGGCCTCCCTTTGCGGCTCCGTCCCTTCTCCCTCCAGCCAGGCCCTCGATGTTGCCTTAGAGTGCTATGAGGATGCAGGCCTCATTGGCTCTCCCGAGAAGGACCTCAGGGACCAGCCAGAGGGAAAAGCTGCCGGTGCAGAAATCAACTCCTCGCTCGAAGCGCTCAGCCGGGGCCTCATTACCGTCGCTGCGCCGGCTGCGAAACGGCTCGCCCTCTCCGACTTGACACTTGAGATCAGCACCATGCCGGCGACCACTGACTGCCTGCATGCATGTGTCCTTGGGGCCTGGACCTCCATTGCTATGTTCAGGCGACCTCTGGTCGCATGCTTCCAGCATGCATATGGCTTGTGCCCGTCGAGCACTGTTGATTCGAGTTGCCCCAAGGTTGTGCCTCTTCCGAGGAGGGTCGCTGCTGAGCTCCAGCTCGTGTCTGTGCTGGCTCCCGTTGCGGTATCTGACATTTCGGTGCCCTTCCTTCCGCGCCTCTTCGCGACGGACTCCTCTGAGTCGAAAGGGGCTTTTGTCTCAGCTGCTATCCCCAGGGACCTCTCTAAGTCGCTGTGGCTTTGCTCCGACAGGAAGGGCGCTTACTCCCGTATGACAACCAAGGCCGCCGCCGCCCTCCAGCGGCATGACCCCACTCACGAGGAGATTGGCGACTGTTGCTCCTCACCGGCCGGTCCTGCCTCTGAGCCTTCTGTCCTGCCAAGGCCAATTGCCTACCGGTTCGACTTCCTCGAGCTATCCATTGGGCCTCCTGACCTCCGGGATGAGTTGCTGCGTCTTGGCTTTTCTGCCGGCCCACACGTTGACCTTCGCCTTTCTTCTGACTGGGGCTTGCAGCGCTTGACTGTGCTTGATTGGGTGCTGCACATGATTGACCAGGGTCACCTTCTCGGAGTATACCTTGTGCCTCCCTGCTCCACCAGCCTCCCTTCTGCAAAGGGCTCCAGGCAGAGCCGGCTTAGCCGCTGGGGCATCCCTGCTTGCCGGTACGAGTATGAGGCTTTCGTCACTTGCGTTGCCATTTTTAGGCATGCTTGCAGCCGGGGAATATGTGCGCTCCTTGAGCTCCCTTCGGCATCGACTTTCCTGGACTCCTCGGTTTTCCTTGCTGCTGCTGGGCGGCCTTGCGCTGACTCTTTCGAGCTGTCGTCCTGTGCTTTTGGTGACCACCGTCTGAGGAGCCTTTCGTGTCTTTGCACAGGCCTTGCTTTTGGGCCCCTCCACAAGGCATGCACCTGTACTTCACGGCACCTGCGCCCTCGCTCTGGCTCCTCTACCAAGGGTTTCAAGCACTGTGCCGGGCTTATTGTTTCCTACGGTCGGGCTTTCGCTCTTTCACTCAGGAGCCTTCTGTTTGCCGCGGCCTCTTCTGATTTGCCCGTGCTTGGCCTTGAACGTCAGTGTGTTAATGACCTAGCCGTTTCTTTGCCCTGGCAGGTCGACTCTGTCTGGTCCTGGGTTCGTCCGGTGCACATCAATATCCTTGAGGCCTCTGTGCTCTGCCGGCTCTACAAGGAGATTGCTCTGACCCAGGGTCACTGCCGTTTTGTCGCACTTTGCGACTCTTTCGTTGCCCTTTCTTCTCTGGGCAAAGGCCGCTCTTCCTCGAATGGTCTCAGACACTCTGCTCGGCGATCCTCTATGATCTGCCTCGCTGCGGGGCTTTACCCTGGCAGCATGTACACGCCGACACGTCTGATGCCAGCTGACCACCCTACGAGAGACCATCCTATCCCGCCTCCTGTCCCTGGACTTGGGCTGGACTTCTGGACTTATGATGCCATCAAGCAAGACTCCCTGCGTCCTCGGCTCCGTCGCTGGGCCTCGTCTTGGGTTCGACTTGCCCTCCTGCTCCGCCCTGGCCTTTCATTGCACTTGCGAGACGCCGTAGGCTGTGCTGATGCCCACATTGACTTCCGGGCTTTCGTGCGGACCAGGGGCTTCGATAGCACTAAGGGTTTTCCTGGTGAAGGGCCTCTCTTCGGGGTTTATCCTAAAGGTTCCCTTTTGCTCTCCCTCCTGGCTCTGTCAAGTCTCCTTCGTCAACCTTCTCTCTGTCTTGGCTTCTTTGTCTTAGGGCAGGCTGCCGCCATGGACCCGCGACGCACTGTTAAACTGGACGCTGCGAGAGCGCTTTCGCGCGCTGGTACTGAACTGCGGCCTGGCAGGCCTGTGCAACGTACCACCCAGGACCGCAGGGACAAGCTAAAGGAGCTTTTCGTTGTCTGGCTGGGCGCGCTTGGCATCTCCTGGGACTGGTTCTCTTTGCGCTCCCGCACCGACCCTGACTTTGCCAACGAGGTCCTGGTTTGTTACGGCCAGCATCTTTACAAGACTGGCAAAAGCTATAGCAGCTATTCCGAGACACTGAACATGTTCTCCTCGGCCTGCCCCTCTTTACGTCGGCTGCTGCAACCTGCGTGGGACCTTGCTTTTTCTTGGCAGCGAGAAGAGCCTCCGGTGCATCATACAGCGATGCCCTGGCAAGTTGTTACGGCTCTAATTTCTGTTGCCCTGATATACGGCTGGGTCGATCTGGCAGGTGTTGTTTGCCTGTGCTGGGGCGGTCTTGCGAGAGTTGGCGAGGTTCTTGAAGCCACCCGCTCGGAATTGGTATTGCCATCTGACGTTGGTACTTCTGATTTCAAACATATTCTTCTTTCTATCCGCGAGCCTAAGACGCGCTTCAAGGCTGCAAGGCATCAGTCCCTTCGAGTTGACCAGCCGCAGATGTTGCGAGTTATTATCATTGCTTTCGGGGCCCTTGACCCTGCAGAAAAGCTTTGGCGATATTCTGGTTCAACTCTGCGGAACCGCTTTAAAAAGCTGCTGTTTGCCTTGAAGCTTCCCCCTGGCATCGTGCCTGGGGTCCGCGACTTTGACCTCGGCTCCTTACGAGCTGGGGGAGCCACTTGGCTCATGGAGATGACTGAAAACCCAGATTATGTTCGAAGGCGTGGGCGATGGATAACTCAGAAGGTCATGGAAATATACATTCAGGAGGTTGCGGCTCTTACTTTTCTCCCTCTCCTTCCTCAGGCCGTTAAGCAGCACATATTCTCTTGGGCAGGGGTTTTTGCTGCTGTTGTGGACAAGGCCGAACTTTGGCACAAGTTCTGCCTGCCTCCGGCTACCTGGAAGTTTTTGACGGCACACGGCGCATGATGCGAGGATTTGCTGCGACTGATGACTTATATACGCTGGAGACTAATGGGGGTGGCCGATTCTTTACAACGGTTGCCCGTTTGTACATGTACTCCTTTGCAGCAGATGCGGAAAAAGTGAGGTGCGATACTCTGCAAATTAGAGTTGAGCGCTGAACCCTCGCATCTTAAGTTTTCGCTCCCGCCCGCCACGCCCTGCGCCCGTGGCCGATTCTTTACAACGGTTGCCCGTTTGTACATGTACTCCTTTGCAGCAGATGCGGAAAAAGTGAGGTGCGATACTCTATTTAGAGTGTAGGGGTTTAGGGTGTAGGGGTTTGGGGTGTAGGAGTTTATTTAGGGTTAAGGGCGATAAGCACATGAAGAGGGATCAACAAACAAGCCGAAGAAGCAAGTTGAGGAGGAACATCGACGAGGATCACGAGATACTAGCTGTTTGCAGGAGAGGGCTTTGAGTCTGGAAGCAAGGAAGCAATTAGTAGAGGCACGGTTGATGATATAAGTCCTGCATTACCCATAATAAGGAATATACCATAATTCCCATAGTTTAGGGTCCTTAAGTCCTTGAAGTAATGCAGGATTTATATCATCAACCGAATAACAGAGATCAGAAGCAGGGAAGCAGCGTCCAAGTTCAGCAGCCTGGGACTCGACCCCCTGAGCCCTAAAGCCTCAACCCTACTAAACCCCAAACGCTACTAAACCTTACACCCTAAGCCTTACGACACCCTAAAGCATTATATCAAAACTTCAACTCGATACCCTACTAAACCCTGAAGTTTGGCCCTATAGCCTTTGTACATCGTCACAGCTCGAACATGCCGTTCCGGGCCGCCCAAACCGGGCTGCCTTCGGAAAATAAAGGAATTGTACTGCAAAGGAGGAGGGGCTTCCTTCCTGTTGTGATTTGAGATATAGTCCTCGTGTATGTAAGGACGAAGCTACTTGAAATGATAAGAGGCTTGATATTCTGGTTGAAGCTCTATTCCCTAATTTGGGCTCTCTGGGAAAGCTGCTTTTGATCCTTCCGCCCAAAACTCCTCCTGTCTAGATGCAGGAGCATGGTTTCAGGCGTTGCGGCACTGTCCCTTCCTCCATCCTGTCCTGTTGAAGCGCTCATGGTAACATAACGATTGTTTTTTTTTTGATGTTCCGCACCTTACACCCCAAACCCCAAACCCTAAACCCCGGATGCCCTGTACTTACAAGTTGCAAGCAGAACATGTGTTGTCCTGTGATCATAACACATAGCGAGAAGTTCCGCAATCCCAAACAGTTGAAATACAGAAGTTCGCTTTGTTGTTGAAAGGCCCGTGAATCAGTGAGCTGTTATGGACTTTGATGAGCGATTACTTTCGATGTCTAGTTCAGCTGTGAACTGATGTTTGTGGCTTCATTCGTTTGCAAGCACGTTGGGCCCACGCAGTGTGAAACTACGCCAACTACAGATTTCGTTTTGCCATAATGCCGTGGTCGCCCTTCCTCATGCAGGGGCAGCCCACACCCTAAAGCCAGAAACCCTACACCATGTTTAACCCATCCACGATGCACCTTTGCACCAGGAGATATCGCCTGAAGGGAGTGGCGGTGCCGTCGCCGCTGCGACGGTTAGTCTACCGGACTCTCGTCTTGAGTGCACGGTTTAGGGTTTAGGGTTTAGGGTTAGCGTTGTTAAACCATGCGAAGAGCCCCGACACAGGTCTCAAGGAATCTCTAGTGCAATCCTTCTTGCAACCCTAAACCCGAAACCCTACCGTGGCGGTGAGGAGAAGCTGCCACCTTTATGCGGCATGGCAGAACAGAGTGCATTCCGTGTCGCTGTCCTGCTGGGCGGTTTGATGGTTGGGGTTTTAGGGTTCAGGGTTCAGGTGTCCTCAGGCTAGGAATGCCTGAGGCAACTAGAGAATGCTATCCAGCTGCTAAACGGATTACGATGAGGCTTACAAACAAGGCTACTACGAGGGCTGCTTGTGACTGAGCTTACTTTAGGGGTACGGCTAGTGAGTGACAAGGAAGTTCCGTGCCTGCCCAGAGACGCCAATAACTCCCTTAATTACGGAATATACCTTAAATGCCTTAAAGTATAGTAGGATCCCTCATATGATTGAAGGGATATTCCTTAATTAAGGGATATTGGAGTCTCTAGATGCGGACCTCAGGCAAGATGTTAAAGATGTTCAGCTGTAAGTCTTGAACCTTAGGGCCGAAACCCTGAAGTCTGAAAGGCCTCAAAAGGCGGGATGAAGGTGGGTAGGATCAAGGATCCCTTATATAAGGACTCTGATTTGGGAATATCCCACCTACCTTCATCCCACCCTTTGAGGCCTCCGAAAGTCTTAAATCCACCTTAAGCCTCTAAACCCTAAACCCTTACAGGAACCCTTAATGGAAAAAAAAACCCAAAGCCTACACCCTCACGCCTAAACCCTAAACCCTACCTCAGACAAGATGTTCAACCCTAAACCCTGAACCCTAAAGCCGCAACCCCAAATTCTCAAATCCAAAATTCTAAATCCGTTTCGACCACTTAGAGGAACCCTCAATGGAAGCCCAAACCTTACCTCACTTGGAGGAGCAGGGGACTTAGTAAGTAGGTTACATGTAGAGTTCTCAGTACCCTAAATGGAGTTACACCAATCATATCCCTACTTATAAACGACTTACTAAGTCCCTTGGCCTCCCAAGTAAACCCTACTTGGAGGATCAGGGGACCTAGTAAGTAAGGTTATAAGTCCCATAATTGGGGTCATAAGTAATTAAGAGTATAGTTACCTTACTTATAGCCCAAGTTACTAAGTCCCGTGATCTTTTAAGTACCTCAGGCAAGATGTTCAACTGTTTCTGGGGAGCGCTCCAGTATGTGCTGAAAGTCGACACCCTGGAGACACCCGGTAACTCTCTCGTGCTTTCTCCGCAGTTGGCAGTCTTAGGTTAGGTTCTCTGGAATCTAGAATCCATAATATGGGAATGGTTGTATAATATATATATATATAGACATATAAAATATATGTCCTGTATATTATTCTACATACTGCACACGATATACTTTATGCCATTCTTTCATCTCCCCGGTGAGGAAGCTTGCTGCGAAACAGCCGGTGCTGGCAACTGGGCAAGGTTCAATAACAAGCCGACATCGCCCAGAGAGCCCAATACCCGTGAACTAAGGAATTTGCCATACATTAAGTGGGGCTTCACATTTTTGGATGTATTCAAGAACTAAAGAATTCTAGGGGACTTCAAAGTATGACTTGAGGTATACAGCTTCATTTGGGAGCCTTGGGGCTCTATGGACGTCCACCGAAGTTTTTCCACAGAGCGCTCGCAACACTACTTAAGGGCTCAGGGAGCTTAGTGAGTAGGGTCACAGTTGAAAGCTAAACCCTAAACCTTACTTGCAGCGACTGGCGAGCAGTCCGAGGTGAGCAATCTTTGGTGGTGCGAAGCGCCGGATATTCAGACGGGAACAAGGCTGAGTTCTGGTTGAGGCATGGCGACAAATTTGCATCTGTTCCTGGAGTAGTCGCGCGCTGCTGGGTGGACTGACTCTGAATGTTACATGCCGGTAGTATCTGCGGCGAAGTGTCTTGGGATGGGCGCTGAGCTTAGGAATGGTCAGAGAATCTACGCCACCCGCACGCGGGGGCTCACGATCGTGGACCTGTGGCCTAACATGACAGCGACTTAGAAGATTAATGCCAGCTTTTGAGACTTCGCCACCCATCCTAAGCCCTCATCCCTATAAGCCCAATCCCTAACAGAAGGGACCCTAAATCTTAGTCCCTAAACCCGATGCCGTACGGCCAAGCTCCACGCCCATGCTCCACGAGGTGAAGCACAAGGAGACCTTTGACACTTTTACGGATGCTTGCCTGCAGCAGGGCTCAGTGTGTTTTCAATGTTCGCGAGTGTACTTAAATAAAGGGTCATGAACCATGGGACTTGGTATTTAGGGTTGTAAGCAAGGTAACTTTGCTGCCCCAGTTAAGGTATTCACAACCTTGCTTACAAAGTTCCCTGATCCTCCAAGCGGTGCGGCAGACGACTGGGTTCTTGTATTGTTAAGGAGCTTAACTTGTAATTACCATCCTAGGGGGTCTATGGAAACTACTAACTCCAAATAAGCTCCTTGTCAAGAACCCAGATGAAAGGACTCATCGTCTATGATTGCATACCTGAGCTCGACGGCCAAAGGCAACGTGTCCCGAAGCAGCAAGCAGATGTCGGGTTGTCCGGCAGACGAAAAAACCTCATGCGTCTTGATGGACTGGCCGGAAGTTAGCATAACAGGCATCTATTAGGGTTCGTTTAAGGGATCTACAACGGTTCCTTTAAAGGTTCCTTTGGGCCAGAATTTTTCTTTCGGCTGTGGCCGTTGCCTGCCTCCGCTGTGCAGCCCAAGGATACTGGTCGGAGCAGTGGACGAACCTTCTGCAGCCTTCAGCCAAGAGGCTTGAAATGCCAGTTGATTGTTCAGACCGGTATGTGCAAGCAATGCATGCAACATGCTCCTACGGCATGTATACCTTTGCCCTAAACCCTAAACCTTAAACTTAAGCCCCACTAAACCCTAAAACCCTAAATCCTTAACCCTATGATATGATCAACATGTAGTCCCGAAATCTCCCACGGCGGCAGAGGCGGAGAACGCTCTTCGAGAGTGTGGGGCCACATTTCCCCAACCGCTCTCCTTTCGGACCCTGAGCTGCATGATGACAGTCATAGGAGGCCAAAAGGGGTTTTGGGGCTCCTTTGAAAGGGTTCCCGTTAAAGGGTCTATAGGGTTACGATAAGGGATCTATAAGGCTTTTTAGTATAGGGGATCTACTCATAGGACAAAAGGGACAGTCATACGGTTGATGATATAAATCCTGCATTACCTTAAGGGCCCTAAACTATGGGAATTATGGTATATTCCTTATTATGGGTAATGCAGGATTTATGTCATCAACAGTAGGAGGCCAAAAGGGGTTTTAGCCTATGGGGGGGTTTAGTAGGGATTAGGGTTCCCATAATAGGGTTCATATTAAGGAATCCCTACACCAAGAATCTTAAACCCCCATTTTGGCCCCCCATCAGACAGGTTTCGGTAACAAGTCCCCGAAACAACGGTTCAGGCTTCAGGGCGGTTCGTGTCGGAAGCACAAGGTTGCTGCATCGAACCCATGACTTCTAATGTAGAAGCCGGAATATTATCACTTACTACTATATTTTAGGTTCCTTCGAAAACTATACTCTGTGATACTGTATTATATACGATACAACAGTATACCATACTATACCATATTGTACTAGTAAGCCCGACTCAATGATTATACTAGCGAACCAGACCCAGGAGTGGCTACGCTCTCATCGGCATCAAGGGCGGAAGCAAACTCTCAGAGGCCATGCAACGGCAGACGGCGCTGTCAGCAACTAGGGGCTTCGAAAAATTCAGGATTTGTTGCTATCGCTTTGCTTCAGGTTTAGACTTCAGTTCTTGATACTCCTAGACCGCGGTATGTGTCGAAAATCTTCGTTTGACTGTCTCAGCTGCTTGGCTGCCTCATGAGATTCCCAGAGAGCCCAGTACCCCTTACTTAGGTCGGGAATATACCTGAAGTCGTAGAGAGCTTCATAATATGATTTCAAGTATATTCCTGCATGAGATGAAGGGTCTTGGGCTCTGTGCGTTTTTCTTTTCAGGTGGTGCAAGTAGAAGGAGACGGCTACGCGGTTGCCGTCGCTGAAGTGAAGAAGCCTGTGCCTGGGCTTTGATTTGACGAGAACATGACCCTTCACTGTGATTCAGTTCACATTCTGCAGAGCCACGGTTTATAGTGAGGGTTTAGGGTTTAGGGGTTTAGGATTTAGGGTTTAGGGTTTAAAAGTTGGAGACCCATAAATCAAAGGGGAAAAGGAGGGACCCTTAACAGGCACCCCTACCCTATAATGGGTTATATAATGGGTATATACTAGCTATATCAAGGGTATATACCGAGTGGTACATAAACCCAGAGACTCCAATATCCCTTAATTAAGGAATATACCTGAAATTATAGTAGGATCCCTAATCTGATTGAAGGGATATTCCTTAATTAAGGGATATTGGAGTCTCTAGAAAGTTGGAAACTGGACTAAGGCCATATTACGGTTGATGATATAAATCCTGCATTAGCCATTATAAGGAATATACCATTATTCCCATGGTTTAGGGTCCTTAAGGTAATGCAGGATTTATATCATCAACCGTAGTGCTGGGATTCCCTATACATGACTGTTAGGGATTGAGGCTACGGGGTTTCCAACTTTTGGGCTTCTACCATAAGTCTTAAATCTCCAAAACTCTACTTGGAGGGGCAGGGGACTTGGTAAGTAGGTTTTAGAAGTAGAGGTATAAGTACCCTAAATGGAGTTACCCCAATTATAACCCTACATATAAACGACTTACTAAGTCCCCTGCCCCTCCAAGTGGCATAGGCTTCATAGGTTAGGGTTTAGGTTCAGGGGCTTCAATTATCCAAGACCTAGATCTCTAAACTTTTAGCAAAGGGGCCTGAATGATTGGAATACGTCTTTGGAGTGAGCTGGAAGTGTATAAACCTGCTGAGCTGAGAGCCGCTGGAGCAGTCCTACGGAGAAATCGCTTGTTAGTCTGTCTGGTGCTTAGTGGGGAATAGGGGAATGGATCCCTGTAGTAGTCCCTATAGAATCCCCAATAATGGTCCGAGTCTCCATAATCCAAACCCTAAACCCTAAACCCTATCCCTTAAGGACCCTTTATCGTCTCCATGATCCATTCCCGACTAAGAACCAGACAGCTAGTCAGGGTCTTCGCAGTATCCTTTTGGTCACCGTGATCTTGGCCCTACTGTATGGTAGCCTTTACGCCAACCCTTCTAGTAGTCCTTGTAGTATTACCGCTGTTTTGGCAGCTTCAGTAATTATAGTGTAGGAAACTGATTAAGAAACCCTGGGCCTATTCCCCCAAATATAAGTAGGATTCATATTAGGAACCCTAATAAAGGCCCAAGGTTTCTTAATCAGGTTTCTACATTATTACATTAAACCTAGTTTTTTCAATCAGCTTCCTCCGCTTCTTCTCTTTCGTTGCTTCCAGGAGCCGGTGTTGACCGCGTGCCACGCGGCAGAAACCGGGCAAGTGTTTGACTCTTTTAGGTGACGGACCGCGATTTAGGAGTCAGGGTTTAGGGATGTAAATTTAAGTGTTTTTAGGGGTTTTTAGGCTTGGATTTTCGGACCTAGAATCCTGGAAAACACAAGTCCCGGTAGGTCCACAAGTTCCCAACGCCATGCCGCACACCAGGCAACTTGTACAACTGCCCTTCTGGCTATGTGCTTAGCGCCGATGCTATGGAGACCCTCAGTGCATCCGTCGAGCCTTCTCCGCAGTACTTGGAGGATGAGGGGAGTTAGTAAGTGAGGTCAAAAGTACCTTACTTGGCGTTATAAGTAGTTATAAGTAATTACAAGTATAGTTACCTTATGTATATATAACCCAGTCACCAAGTCCCCTGATGCTTTAAGTAGGCAGAGTGTATCGGTTCGAGACTTTCGCCAGTCGTCATGAGGAAACTTGCTGCGAAGCCATGGACCCTGGCACCTGGGCTTTCATCAGTCGGTAGGCCCTGCACACGACGTTCAAATATGAGAAAGAAGCGTCCAGCGCATTGCTGGCGGTACGGGCGAACAGTCTGAGGCGAGCAAGCTTTGGTGGTGCGCAGCGCCGGTTTTTCAGATGGAAACAAGGCCGAGTTCTGGCTGATGCGCGGCGGCAAAAGCAATTTTCCGGAGATGTTGGGCGCATGGACGGTTCGACTGGCACATGCCTTGTATAGGGCTCTCTCTGGTGCTCAGGAATGGTCAACGGCTGTATGAAACTCGTAAGCGTGGGCTTACGGTCGTAGACCTGTGGCCTAACATGACAGTGGCTTTGATGCAAGTCTGACGGGTTTGAGACTTCGTTGCCTGTCTAATGACTAGTGCCTGTCCATCGACGAGGTGAAGCACATTGAGACCTTCGATACTCATGCGGATTCTTGTCTGCAGCACGGCGTGTAGCTGTTCAGTTCTCAAGACTTCAGTGCGGCTCAACTGAAAGGATTCCCTGCCCATGGCTGCATACTTGAACTCAACTGCCAAAGGCAACGTGCTCCCAAGCTGCAAACAGACTTCATGTGCACTCGTTCGGGACTTGTGTAGAAGCCCATACAGTAAACATTATGATTAACGAACAGTGGACCGGAGCTTTGCATCCTTGCTGCTTGCCGCCTTGTTCGTACCTTGTACAGCTGCAGCTGCGGGTTGCAAAGAGGTTTGTTATAGAGGTTACAACACAGGCTATACAGGTTACCATACAGGTTGCTAAAGGTTTGTTATAGGGGTTACAACGGTTTAGGTTTTAGGGTCTCCGTACAGGTTACTATGGAGGTTTACTAGACAGGGATTCCTTAAAAGGGTTCCTGAAAGGCTCTTTAAACGGGATCTATAAGGGTTCTAGAGGGGGATGAAAATTACTACTTAAAGGATCAGGGGACTTAGCAAGTAAGGTTATAAGTACCCAAATTAGTTAGGGTTATAAGTATAGATACCTTATTTATAAACCTAGTTTCCAAGTCCCATGATCCTTTAAGTACCCTAAACCCTATAGATTCCTTATGGAACTCTTTAAGGAGCCCTTCAGCGTTACTAAGTCCCATGATCCTCTAAGTGGAGTGCGGCGCTGCCATGTAGCTCGAGGATCCTGGTCGGAGCGGCGGACGATGCTTCCGCGGGCATGGGTTGGGAGGCATGGGATGGAAACCTTTCAGACTTTCGCAGGAAAGTGAAGTACAGCATGTTGTGGTACAGTTTTGTACCATGGCATATTGCAATATATGATCATACATCGAATAACTATAGCCACCTTAACTTGTTCTTTGGCCAGATGCATCAACGAATCAGAGCAGTCTCGAATCCCGCTGGAGGCAGCGAACCAACTTCGCGATTTGGGTGCCACGTTTCCCCGCCCGATTTGCTTCCGGCCGCTGCGCTGTATAGCGAGACAGGACACAGAAACAGAGATGTGGACCAGCCGAAACCCTAAACCGCGCCTAAACCCAAAACCCACATAGCTGTACAAAGGTGCTCCTACACTCTCATTGGCGTGAAAGGTGGAAGCAAACTCGCAGAGGCTGCTGAGAGCTCCATGCATCATTGCGTTTCAGTTGAGATCATCGAGTCGGTTTAGGGTCTAGGGTGCAGCGTGCCAGAAGGACTGTTTCTTCGATTGCTACAGTTGCTTTGCAGAACAGAGTTGCCACCCCCAGCCCTAAACTAGCCTAAACCCCATACCCTATGCCACAAGCCAGGTTGGGACGGCACCAGGAAAGGGGAAAGCTGTGTCTGTCAGCGTGCTCGTGCCGGAGCTCGGCCCTCATTGCGCCTAAGGCCTAAGCCCCCTAAACCCTAAACCCTAAACCCTAAACCCTAAACCCTAAACCCTAAACCCTAAACCGTGCTCTGAGGCTACTCAGGTTCCTGCCAGTTGATGGAGGCGTGAACCGTGCCTGCCGGGGGCAGTCTGCCGGCGACAACAGCGGCGACCACTACGTTGCACCTCGGCAGCGTTTGGGCCAAGGATTTCGTTGCGGTTTAAGATCATAAGGGTTTCCTTTCAGAGTGACTATCAGGGCTCCGAAAGGATTTAAGGCTTACCATAAGGCTGCCATAGGCTTGGTTTCTGGAGATGGTTAATACAGGTGCCTATAGAATTTTCGATGATTACCTACACTATTTTCGGGGCTCTTTCTATTAGTACAGTATATAAAATCCCCGCCCCTCCAAGAATAAGAAAGGCTTTATTCCAATGATTAAGATCCCTAAATTATGGGTTTGGACATCGGGTTTCTACCTTGGGGGCTCTTCCGCTTCAGGTGGTCGATGGCATCGAAACCCTTCAGGCCTGCAAGATGGAGTGCATCGCGCGAGAGGCGAACTGCCCAACCTTAGGGGTTTGGGGTTTAGGGTTGAGGGGAAAGGGTGTAGGGCTAGGGTATAGGATTTAGTGTTTAGGGCTCAGCTTTGGCAATCAGCCGGGATGCTTGAACATGTGTGCAGGCATGTGTTGGTATCGAGCACCGCGGAAGCCGTTGTGAAGTCTGGACGCGGCCAGGGGGTGTCCAGGCCTCCATTTACCTGGCAGCTCGTCCTGTTGGGGCAGGGGTTTCAGGCTTCCTTATAAGAGTCTCGGTAGTTGCCCTTTAATACTACAAGCTCTTCTGTAACGGTTACTGTATCCTCGTGCTCAAAGAAGCTTCTGTGCCCAGTACGGCTACACGTGCCTCAGCTACACCCCACCTCTTGCAACGACAACGACGACGATGGCCTCGACCGCAACGACCAGTACAAGGAGGGGCAAGCAGTTTTGAAATTGTCCAGTTGCCCTCCTGGCTCCTTAAAGGGTTCCATAAGGAATCTATAGGGGTTTAGGGTACTTAAAGGATCATGGGACTTAGGAATTACGAACCTTCCATGCTGATGCTGTTGCAAGATCCATGTGTGGACGTCTCTGCTATGAGAGAGAGAGAGAGAGAGAGAGAGAGAGTGCTTCATGCAATCGCTACACACACACATATATATATATTTGAATATCCAAATATCTATATATCTAGATATAGATTTAAAGGGACGGTTTGAGTGCTATCATGAGTGCAGGCGCAAGCAAGTCCTGCTTTTTCGTAGTCTGCAGACTGCTCCTTGCCTCGGACCCGCTTTCTCTGTTTGTCTTGTACTGTTGCTGTGCTTATATGTATAATTACTATATTGTGTCATAGAAAAGTATGTTCTATTGTAGTATATTATACTCATATGATATTATATCATGTGCTTATATTAAATATCATGCTATATTTCCATATATATATATATATATATATATTGCACACTGATGCTTGCGAAGAGTTTGTGTAGCCTTTGCAACAAGCTCTAAGTGAGAGTGTGTGGCAGGGCCATCGCGACACGTTTCGCGGCTGTGGACGGCGGGGTCAATCGAGCATGCCGTGGAGCATCATCTTCCGACAATGCTGCGTCCCACTACACAGTCATCCCAGGTCGTGGTGGTCAAATCTTCGTAGATACTACTAGCCTTAAAGGACATTCGCCTGCGAACCCGCCTTACAGTAACCCGCCTTAAAAGTGACCCTTAAAGGACCCTCAAAGGAACCCCTTGAACAGCCGTTCTTCTGGTAGCTGGGCAGGCATCCAGGATCTTGGCGATTGCCAAACCGAGTGCATTCAGGCCGCCATGCTCCTCGTTAAACCCAAGCCCTACACTCTAAACCCTTTGGTGGCCTCCATCTTTTGCAGGTCGTTGGCTGCGTGGGGATCGAGTTCAGCAGTGGGAGATGTGAAGTGTGGATCCGTCCTGATGGGATCCGGGCCTCGATTGCAGCTTTGCTGCAAGACCCAGAGGGTTTTAAGCACATCTCCAGAGAGGAATGTATGAGTATTCCTACATATATATATATATACACACACATGTGGGTGCGTGTGTGTGTATATATATGTACATATATATATATATATATATACATATATGTATCTCTCTCTCTCTATACATGTGTGTGTGTGCGCGCATACCTGAAGGCATACTATGAAGCCCCCAGAACTTAGGCGTTGCCATGAAATAAGCGGTTTAGGCTTTCAATTTCTGGGGACAGCTTGTCCCTGCGTGCAGGGATGAGAGGGAACGTGCAGCAGAGGGAAATTGCAGCTTAAGGCATTGAATGGCTTCACATGCCTGAGCTACATTCCACCTCAAGCAACGACAACGATGGCCTCGACCGCAACGACCAGTACCAGGAGCATCATTCTGGGACAAGAGTCTGGGATGTAGGGTTTAGCGTCCCCATGTGGAAGTCTGGACACATCGACACGCCTTTCTGTGAGCACGCACTTGCGGCCTCGGGGGTCTCAGAAGCCGATAGAGGCTCCCACCAGAGCTCTTGGAGAAACAAGCCTTGAGCTTATGAGTTCATAAGAGGGCAGATTTGGCGATGCCTGCAACCCTTTGATGGAATTCTCCATGCGACTTTTCAGCTAGCATGTGTCGGTCACATGCAGTTGAGTTAGCAGCACTAGGCAAGGGTGTCGAGGGAAACGCTTCCAATGCTGTACGCCTGATTGAGTCACACGCTTACCCGGCTGGTCTATCCAGTTGCAAGATGCGTGTGCGGACGTCTTTGCTTTGCGAGAGTACGCAATGCAATCGCTACACATGAGTGCAAATTGGTTCTCGTTAAGGGATTTAGTTTAAATTACCATAATAGGCATCTGTAGTTACTAGTATGGTTTCCTCATCATGGTACTTCAAATTAGGTCCCTTAACAAGAACCCAGGGTAGCATGCACGCTCCTTGCCCAGGCTAGCTTTCCATGTTTGTCTTCTGGGTTCTTGCTAAGGGTTTTTTCAGGTACCAAAGTAAGGAAATCATAATATTTACTATAGATCCCTATAATGGTAACAAAAAACCCTTAGCAAGAACCCAGTCTTTTCGCTGAGAGTGCTTGGCAGGGCCATCGCGACACGTTTCGCGGCCGTGGACGGTGGGGTCAATCGAGCATGCCGTGGAGCATCATCTTCTGACAATGCTGCGTCCCACTACACAGTCATCCCAGGTCGTGGTGGTCAAATCTTCGTAGATACTACTAGCCTTAAAGGACATTCGCCTCAGAACCCGCCTTAAGGTAACCCGCCTTAAAAGTGACCCTTAAAGGACCCTCAAAGGAACCCATTGAACAGCCGTTCTTCTGGTAGCCGGGCAGGCATCACGGATCTTGGCGATTGCCAAACCGAGTGCATTCAGGCCGCCATGCTCCTCGTTAAACCCAAGCCCTACACTCTAAACCCTTTGGTGGCCTCCATCTTTTGCAGGTCGTTGGCTGCGTGGGGATCGAGTTCAGCAGTGGGAGATGTGAAGTGTGGATCCGTCCTGATGGGATCCGGGCCTCGATTGCAGCTTTGCTGCAAGACCCAGAGGGTTTTAAGCACACCTCCAGAGAGTAATGTATGCGTGTACCTACATATATATATATATATGTATCTCTATATATAACTATATATATACACACACATACATATCTATCTTTTTAATTATATACATATACACACACACACACATATTGTGAGTTTGCGGCAGCGATCGGAGGGAAAGTTCAGCAGCTGACGAGGCATTGAGTGGCTTCACCTGTCAACGCCCCACGACTGCAAATTCAGCGGTCGGCTTTCTGTCCTAACTACTACTACTACTACTACTACTACTACTACTACTACTACTACTACTACTACTACTACTACTACTACTACTACTACTAGCACTCGCTTGTAGCTTGTAGTGCGGGCATCGGTCATCATTCACGGTTTCGGAGCTGACGAGATCTTGCTGGTAATGGTTGTTGTTATGGGTAGATCTACTAGGGTTATGTGTCCCCTGATATGGGTTATATGTAGTTACCCTACTTCTGGCCGTACTTATAACCCTACTTCTGCTGTTTTGCTGTTTCATGATTGTCAGCAGGGTTTGGTCAGTGCCATTTTGTTTTCTTGTGCTTCAAGCCAAACCCTAAAGCCAGATCTGGGGTCTTTCTTATGTGGGAGTTTCCGAAAAAAGGGGACCTTAAGACAGTACCCTAGATACTAGGATCCTTACTATAAGGACCCCCAAGTAAGGTACCCTCTATTTTCGGAAACTCCCATATGTTTCTCTCATCAAGCGAATTTAGTACTGTGGTGTATGATTGTCGATAAGGCCCTTATCGTCATTCGCCGTATGTTCGTTGCATACTGTTGTCGGCAATATAGTGTAGGTAGTTCCAGCATGCTATCACTCTGTAATGTTCTAGTATGCATACTTCAGCAGTAGCATAGCAGCTTTTCTATGCTGTACTATGCTGTACCCCAAATCCCTATTCTCATCATTGGGGGCCAGCTGAACAGGTTTGATTTCAGCAAGCCGTCGATTGGACATGGTGCTTCTGCCCTGAGCTATGTATGGGGAGTTCAAATTCAGAAACCCCTTAATTCAGGAATGGACTTTAAATCGTAATCCGAACCCCTCTACAATTTAGGGTGTATGCCGCCTGAATTAGGGGGTATTGGGCTTTTTCTTAAAATTCAGAGTGGCCGTGGAAGTAGGCGAATTGGTCATGCCTTCAATTCCGCCGAAGGCGGACAAACACGCGATCATGTCAGTGCTTGAAACCACGGCACCTTTTCTGCAAAATGCAGCAGACTGTTCAGGGAGAGGCGAAAAAGGAGATGTTATCGGAAATTCTCTCTCCCGCGAAGCATCTGAGTTTTGAGGGGCGCGGCCCTGAAAGAATCTTGCTTACAAGCTCACAGTAGCTTAGAGAACCCTTCGGGCCAAGCACGTAGCAATCGTGCCTGTGCGCGAGGAGTGCTGTGAAATGAACGCCAACGTTCGTGCGGTGGTCCATACAGTGCTGTACAGTGGAAAACGCTTCGTGGTGGTGGCAACCTGCTTCAGCATATTGCCAAGTCACTGGCCCTTTCAAGTTTTAGTGCGCCAGCAGCTCACCAAGTAGCTGAGCCTCGTGCAGCGTTGGTCGTGAAAGAACCGGCTGTCTGGGGCGACCTCTTCTGCCACGTCTCTCAGCCATAATCCCTAAACCCCAAGCCCGAAACCCTAAAAACTTAAATCCCAACCTTCAACCCTGAGCCCTAAGCCCTGAACCCTCAGCCTTTGTAAGAGCCCCAAGCCCTAAACCCTAAACCTTAAGCCCTAAACCAGAAGCCTTAATCGCTCTAAGCCCCAATCCGTACAGTATATGCCCTAAACCCTAAACCCCTAAACCCAAAACCCTCAACCTTAAACCCTGAAACGTGAGAACGGCTTGACGCATGCCCACGGCGCTTGCGCCCAACTCCGGCTTGTCGCCCCCGAGTTGCAATGCATATGGTCATGAGCTCGATCCTTATTGTCTTTATGATCATGATACGGTTGATGATATAAATCCAGCACTATGGGAATTATTCTGTATTCTTTTTATGATTATGATATTTATTGTGAACATGAGTATGATGATTGCTATTCCTGGTGTTAGTCTCATCCTAAACCCTAAACCCTAAACCCTAAAACCCTCAACCCTAAGGTCGGCGATGTTGAGCGATGGGGGCTTATAATAAGGATCCTAGTACTATATGAGGGTCCCATATTTTCGGAAACCCCCCATGTAGCAGCGCCTCCTGTAGACGGCCGTTCCGCCCAAGGCAGGGGCCTCGGAAAAGAGGGTGCTTGGAGGATCAGGGGACTTAGGGTTCTTAAAGGGCTCCTTAAAGGGATCTAGAGGGCTCCTTAGAGGGATCTTTGGGTTTAGGGTTTAGGGTACTACTGGGAGGATCAGGGGACTTAGTAAGTAAGGTCAGAAGTACCCTAATCGGGGTTATAAGTACTTATGTATAGTTACCTTATTTATAACTAGTTGCTAAGTCCCATGATCCTTTAAGTGAGCACGTGCTAAAACGGGTTTCAGGCGAGCTGCGTCTACATGAGAGTCGCCGGAGCGTCAGGCCTGGATGTGAGATTCAAGATGCTTTGCAATCTGCAAGTATCGTCTGCGCGCAAGAGACACAAGTGTTTGGCAGGTGATCCGTTTGCGAAGCGGAACAGTGTGCAGAGGGCACCTTTCAAGTCTAAAGCTTCTTTCAAGGCGAGCGCGTGGAGTGTTTTGACTTCGGTGGCAGTGTGCAGCTTTGGAATCGCACTTGGTTCAGGGTTTAGGGTTTGGGGTAGCTGGTTGGCTGGAGGAGAAGAAGCAGCCGCGTGATTCTCCTGATTCGCTCGACGATGAAGGACTAGCTACGGGAGGGTATTGTGAGACCTTCGCAAATGACCTCTTAGCAGGAGATGTCGTTCCTGCTGCATCCAATGCATCGCGGAAAGACAGGAGGCAGGGCATATGGCACCAACATGTTGGATGACGGCCATAAATTTCATGAGCATGCGCCCGCTCTCAAATATGACCCTGGGATCCACCGATGGGGCATGCTCCTCGGTGTTCGGGGAGAGTTCTGGGGTCACTTGCAGGACCAGCGTCGACAAAGCCAAAAGCACGCCGGCTCGCAATGTGCTGAAGGAAATTCACAGCAGTCGGTGGCCCGGCGGCAGTGGGTTGCTTCGAGACAGCCCCAACCTCTATCCCAAACCCAGCCCTTAAACTCTAAAGCCCTAAACCCTAAAGCCCCAGACCCTAAACCCCTAAACCCTAAACCCTAAACTCTAACCCTAAGGCCCCAAACCCTAAAACTCCGAAAACCTAAAATCAAAGACCCAAAATTCTGGACACTAAACCCCTGGGAGCCGCTTCGCATGCAAGGTTGCCGAAGAAGCTCCAGGCTCTGCTCCCGGATCCAGAACCCAGAGAGCCCGGTTTAGGGTTTAGGGTTTAGGGTAATTAAGGATTCTAGGCTTTAATCACATTATGAACCTCCTTATAATTTGAGGCATGTTCCTTAATTAAGGGGTATTGGGCTCTCTGGGAAGAGACGCCACCGAAAGGGGTAGATCTTAGAAGCTGCCCCCACCCTGTAATCGTGACTATAAGGATTATATTAGGGGCCCTATTATGCTCCTATTATACCACTATTACCGGGTGGGGGCAGCTTCTAGGATAGATTTCTAAATGAGGGTCCGTGTTAAGGTTCCCTTCAAAGGGATTTGTACGGGGTTTCTAGAACGTATTAAGCTTCTTGACGGGATTTATAAGGGTTTCCGCAAGGGTACTATAAGGGTAGTTCGGTTCCTTTTCAGGTTCCTTTTTATACGGGTGCCCTACCATTTTGGGGACCTAAACAGGGACCTTTAATTTAGAGAACTACCCAAAAGCCACGGAACACTTTAGTTCCTGCTTCTGGCACTTGGAGGGGCAGGGGACTTAGTAGGTAGATTATAAGTAGGGTTATAATTGGGGTAGCTCCATTTAGGGTACTTATAACTCTACTTCTAACCTACTTACTAAGTCCCCTGCCCTCCAAGTAGACCCTAAACTCTAAACCCCATAGATCCCTTTGAGGAACCCTAGAGATCCCTTTAAGGAGCCCTTTAAGAGCTCTTACTAAGTACCCTGCCCCGCTTCCGGCAGGTTCCGAATTTGGACTTCGACCGCTTTCTCCGCATCAAGGCTTCCTCGGCTCAGGGGTGATAAGGGTTTTAAAAGGGTTTAGGGTTTTGGGTTTAGGGTTTTGGGTTTACGATTTAGGGTTTAGGGTTTAGGGTAGTTGTCAAAATTACGGTTGATCTAAGGGCCCTTAACTATTGGAATTTTGGTATATTCCTTATTATGGGTCATGCAGGATTTACATCATCAACAGTATGGTCCCTTTTGGGGTACCCTAAATATTGGGTGCTATATTATATGAAGGACCCAAAAAGGGCCCATCATGTTGACAACTATCCACATGAGGAGCACTCTGAGGGTTCTTTTTGACCTTTCACTTTGTATTGCATGCAGGAGCGAGAGCATCAGGGTGCGGCAGTGCATGACGTCAGGCCTGCCCGAAGCTGTTTGGACGGGTCGGGAGGGACCAACCCCATATGGGAGTTTCCTGAAAATAGGGGACCCTAATTAATATAGTATCCTAAATAGTAGGATCCTTGTTCCAAGGACCCCAAAATAAGGTACCCCTAATTTTCGGAAACTCCCATATGGGTTTCTATGAGGTTTTGAGGTTCCTTGACGGGATTACAACGGGTTGCTATAAGGGTACTATAAGGGTAGTCCGGGTCCCTTGTAAGGTTCCTTGTTGCAAGGCTTAACGCGTCAAACACCGTTTCGGGCTTCAGTCCCTTTAAGGAACCTTCAAAGGGACCCTCATTATGAGTCTAGTTACCGTTTTGAGAAGCCTAGTTACTAAGTCCCATGATCCTTTAAGTAAGTCCCTTCAAAGAAATCTTCAAAGGGACCCTCATTTCCACAAGGACGGCGAGAAGTGGAGTGTTGCGGTCCGTGCGGCTCGGTTCGCCAGCGACTCAGTTGGACCGCTGGGAGGGAGCCGTGTGCTGAGCCCAGGGTTTAGGGGTTACTTAAAGGATCATGAGACTTAGTAACTAGGGTTATAAATCAGGTAACTATACTTATAAAGACTTATAACCCCAATTAGGTGACTTACAACCTTACTTACTAAGTCCCCTGATCCTCCAAGCAGGTTTTTTTTTTGGTGGGGGGGTTTCGGGTTTAGGATCTAGGGGTTTAGGGTGTCGGGGGGCTTAGGGTTTAGGGGTTCAGGGTTTAAGGTTTGCAGCAGCAAGAGTACAAACACACTGGTCACAATACCGATTACGGGAACCGTAGCGAAAACAGCAACAATACTACTGATAATCACCACTAGAAACAAAACTAGTTACAGCAACCACAGCCGCATGGCGAAAACAGCAACAATAGAATATGCACTTGTATCAATACCAGTAACGGTAATCACAGCGAAGGCGTAACAATAATGATGCTCACAAGCAAAGCAAGAATCTTTCACACATATTGTAAGACTACTAAAGGAGATATGTAATGATACTACAAGCACACTAAGTAGTAACAATGATGGCAATAATATCGATACTACTAACTAAAGCATTTCTTCGTTGTCCAGAGGCAGCCGGAGACCGAGGAGTTGTCCTTCGAGGATCCGGCTTGCCATGGCCTTGGGTTTAGGGTTTAGGTTTTAGGGGTTTAGGGGGTTGAGGGTGCTATTATTGTAGTTGTTATGATCCCTATCGTATTGATGCTGCCATCACTTCTGTTTTTGCAGTGACGGTTGGTAACAGTATAGTTAGTGTTGTGTTAGTCTGCTCATTACTGCTGTTGATGATTTTGGTTATTGTTTTCATTTTCACTGCTACAGTTTTTGTTATTACCTCTGTTGTTGGTATTACTGTTACTACTGTGCGGGCTGAAGAGAAGCAACAGGGCTTCTAAAGGACGCTCTTTCGCGGAGAGAAGGTTCAGTGCGGTCCCCGCATCTTGGCTCGAGATGCAAGTTTTCCATGGTTTTCCCGCCTGGCTGTCCCAGTGCGCGCATGCCTCGCGGCAGTGGGCCTGCGGGGCTTTGCGCACACTGACACACCAAGCCGCTCGTGCCGCAGCGGTGCGTGCAGTAACAGCCGATATATAAAGCACACCGTTGCATCACTTCGGTGCATAGTGCGGCTCTTTTTCCTCCCGGTGCTCATGTACTGAGGCCACTTGAGGGGAAGGCGAGAATGGCCGGCTCCTGAGCATGGACCGGCTTGAGTTTGGAGCGCCAGCACTGTCCGCTTGTTCAGGCAAGCACTCGATCCTTTGAATCCTTGGTGGCAGCATGCCACAAGGAGGGATGCTGATGCCCTGTAGTCGACAGTTGTATCCAGAGACTCCAATATCCCTGAATTAGGAATATTCCTTAAATCATATTAGGGATCCTATTACAATTTAAGGAATATTCCTTAAATAAGGGATATTGGAGTCTCTGGGTATCATGGGTTTTGCAGATGTCTTGCGAAGTCAGCCAGACCGGCTGCTGCAGGCTAGACGCTGGGAAGAGGTCCTGACTTTATTCCGGCACATGAAGTTGAGCCGCCTTCCTGCGCCATGATTGCAGCAAGCTCTTAGGGATCTATAAGGGTTCCCCCCCAGAAACTCCAAGACCCCCTAATTAAGGGAGATACCTTAAATCATATTCGGAATCCTATTATAATTTAAGGTACATTCCTTAATTAAGGGGTTTTGGAGTCTCTGGGCCTTACAGGCATCTACAGGGTTCCCTTCAAGGGATCCTCGTGAGGCGGCGCCGGAAGTTAACTTCATGGCATCTACCCCAATCTATCCCGGAACCCTAAACCCCTAAACCCTTAATCCCCTAAACCCCTAAACCCCTAAGCCCCTAAACCAGGCCGGCATGGCGGTCCTGAATTCAGCAGTCAGTGCATGTGAGACCGGGGCCCAGTGGCAAGTGGCCATTCAGCTCCTGACAGAGGGTGCCTTCGCCAAAATTCCACGGGAGCCAGCAGGTTTAGTGACGATTTTTTTGTGCTCAGGGTTTTAGGGTGTTTTAGGGTGTTTTAGGGGGTTTTATGGTTTAGGGATTTTAGGGTTCAGGGTTTAGGCCCTATTGTTCCAAACCTACATCTACGTGCGGCGTCGCTCTGTGTGTGGAATTAGATTGGCTTGACCAGACCTCTAAACCCTAATACTTTAAGGTAAAAGCCAGAACGTTGGAATATGATTATCCTAACCCTTCTAAGGTAAATTATAGGGTATCCTACCATGAAACCATATTCCAACTTTCTGGAGTTCCCTGTAGTCCTCTTTGAACCAAAAAGAATGCTGAATCCCTAAAACTCTAAAGCCCTGAGGCCCTAAAGCCTTGAAGCCCTAATAATGTAAAGCCTCTGGGCCCGACATCCTTGGCTTGGTAGGTGAGATGGTGGACGCAATCACCTGGAATTCTGCCCTGGCCTCTCTCAGCGCAGGCGAGGACCCCCACAAAGTCCCTGAACCCTAAACCCGTGTTTGGAGTATGTGGAGTGGCATGGTGGTGGAGATACGTTTCACCTAACCAAGTGTAGGCCCTTTAATGGGCCAGCGTCGCTTGCAGAAAGAGGCGCTGCTGCACTTAAAAAAACAAAACCCGAAACCTTAAACCCGAAACCCTAACCTCGAAACCCTAAACCCTAAACCCTGGGCTCATGGCCCAATACCGGAGGATGAGCCTCAAAGGAAGGTTACAGTTACGGCAGGGCAGTTACAGTAATGGTTACCAGAAGACTTACTACATTCTGAGGCTGGCTTTTTGAGGTTGCCATGGGGTTATGCTCCAATTACGAGGGTTGCTTTTTGAGGTTACCATAAGTGTAAGGTTATGCTGCACAGGCGGACGTGTAGTGATAGATATGAAGCAGCGCGAAGGCCACCAGTGGCAGCGTGCACTGGACCTTTTTGTCGCACCCACGAGCTTCTGGCGTGCCGCCGCGCCCGTGGCCCCCTCCAACGCAACCTTGGGCACTGCCTGGGGCACTTTAGCCGTGGCGGCAGAGCGGGCCACACGCCGCGGCCTTGGCAAGTGTTGAGCGGAAGAGCTGTAAATGTCGTCGTTTTGAGAGCAAGACATATGGGTTTAATACGCAACATCTACACAGTGATATACTAAAATCTGTGTATATGTGTATATATATATATATATATGTGGTACAAGCTGGCGTAGTATGATACAGCTTCATATGCCGCAATGTCCGCCGCCATTCTTCTCGAGCCTGACAAACCATGGCGAGTTCTCCCAGGGGACCTCCCAGGAGCTAAGCGGTTTTAGCCTATGCAGGTTTAGTAGGAATTAGGGTTCCCCTAATCGGGTTCATATGAAGGAATCCCCCTAAACCCTAAACCCTAAATTCTGAACCCTAACCCCTAAACCCTAAACCCTGAACCCTAAATCCTAAACCCCAAGTAATCTTAACCCCTAAACCCCAAAACCCCAAGAATCTTAAACCCCTAAACCCCTAAACCCTAAACCCTAAGCCCTAAACCCCTGAACCCTAAACCCTAAACCCTAAACCCTCAAGAAAGTGATAAATAGAAATTGCTTGTCCTGGTTTGTAACCACCGCTAAGGCCCAGCATTTCGGCTAAAACTGGCGTTAGCTTCTTGATAATCCAATTTCGCACAACCACAACCTCAACCATTGACTCAGCCCAGCCAACTCAAAACAGCCACCCGTTCAAAAACGGAACAAGCTTCTTGATAAACCAATTTCGCACAACCACGACCTCAACCTCTAACTCAGCCCAGCCAGCCCAGCCAGCCCGGTCCAGCCCAGCCCAGCCCAGCCCAGCCGGCCCAACACACCGATTAAAAATTGAATAAGCCTCTTGATAAACCAATTTCTCCACAAACTTGTAACCACCATTACCGCCCAACATACCGCTTAAAATTGAACAAGCTTCTTGATAAACCAATTTCTCCAAAATCCAGCCCCAAATCCAGCCAAACCCCAAATCCAGGGCCTGGATCCACTCCCCAGACCCCAGCCCCAAATCCAGGTTCAGAAAATTCAGCGCAAATCCAGGCCAAGATCCAAATCCAGGCCCAACCCCCTTTCCAGGCCCAGCCCCAAATCCAGGCCCAAGGCCCCAGACCCAAATCCAGGCCAGCCCCAAGGCTCCAGGCTCTAAATCGCACCCCAAATCCAGGCCAACCCAAAATCCAGCCCAAATCCAGGCCCAAACGCCAAATCCAGGCCCCCCAGACTAGCCCCAAGACCCAAATCCAGGCGCGGCCCAGCCCCAAATCCAGGCCCAAGGCCCAGAATCCAGGCCCCAGACCCAAATCCAGGCCAGCCCCAAATCCAGGCTCCAGACGCTAAATCGGCCCACCCCACCTTCCCAGACCCCAAACTCCGAAGGCCCATCCCCAACTCCCAAATCCAGGCCCCATCCAGGTTCCAGGCCCCCCCCAAATCTCCGAATCCGGGTTCAAAAGAAAAAACTTTCGTTGAAAACGTTTCGTTGAAAACGTTTCGTTGAAAACTTTCGTTGAAAACTTATTGGCACCCAAACCCTTAACAATTTCTACATGCACATTCTTGAGAGTTAGGGTTGAACACAGATTCCCTGCTGGCCGACCGAGGTGGAATGAGCATCGGAAGTTCATGAAACAAGGCTGCTCTGTGGTGTGTCCTCTCAAGCTTTTAAGATGCTCCGAGTAGGAGATATCGGGTCGCTAGCCGTGAGCTCGCCGAATGGCGAAGTAGCAGTGGCCGGATGGATTGTGGAAGTGAGTGAGGGGTCTGCAGTGCTGGGAACCTTGCCCTCCTTAGTGGAATCTCTCGAGCATAAGCTTACCGAGAAATCAGCGAAGCACGAAGCCTCCTTCCTTAGAGTTCCTGCGGGAGAAGTTCACAGTGAATTGCCGAGCGATTGGACGGGACCCAGAGCTGGGGAGCTGCCTTCGTTTGCCGCATGCAAAGCTCTTTGGGAAAAGGCGTCGGCAACAACCTTAGAGAGCAGCGACGCTGCGGCAAGTGGCCGGCCCGCGAGGGCCACAGCAAAGAAATCCGGGGCCTCCCCGTTGACCTCCGACTTGAAAGGTCTTGGCAGGCTTTTTGCCAGCGATCCCGACGCCGACGACGAGGACGAGGAGGACGACGAGGGGGAGGACGAGTGGATGGGCTATCTTCCCCCGGGGAAATCGACGAGCAAAGGGCGCAAGGAGAAGGCAGTCAAAGACGAGAGCCCGGACCCCGATCTTCGCCAGTTGCTTCGAGCCGGTCTTGCGAAAGGCGAGGACGTGAACCAGCTTCTCCCGGTGATGATGATGAGCCTCCTCCTGGACAAGGACAAGAAATCAAAGAAGAGAGGCAAAGCGCGAGGCAGCGACGATCTACTTGGTGGCTCTTCCTCCGACGAGTCGGGAGAAGAAGACCGCTGGAAGGGGAAGGGCATGAAGGCCGTGAGCACTTTGCACCGGCTCCACGAGCAGATCCATCGAAAGCCGAAGCGAGTGTGCCAGCTCTTCGAGAAGGAGGTGATCGAGGAGATGGGTGTGATCCCGGGGCAGGCCTGGACCATTCGGGATTATGTGAAGAAGCAGCCGTGGGGCAAGTTCAAGGGGATTTTCAGATGTGCCATTCAGGATGCAGCAGTGTACGAGATGCTAAGGAGAGGGGACAGCGACATTGCAGCAGCCCAATTGGTTCAGAATCTGAAATCGAAGATCCAGTCAGTGATTCAGCATGGCGATTGGCAGGCGGCATGGCTACTTTGTGGCCTTCCCGACCCTCTCGCTCGTCGGGAGTTCGCCGGATCAAAGGAGGAGCTCGCTGTGGTGTCGGGGTACCTGGAGGCCTTAGCCAACCTTCGGAAGAAAGTCCGCGAGACCCAGGGAGCAGCAGGAGCCGAGGCGGAGGAGGAGCCGCCATCGGGCCCAAAGTGAGCATCAAGAAAGCGCTGCATGAGGGGCCGTGCCGGTTGAAGCATCCGGCGCTGAACGGCCGGAATTCAAATTTTATGAAGTATCTTTTGTGGTTCGAGAGCGTCCAAGGTTCCCTGCCAGAAGCTTCTGGCATTGATCTTTTCCCGTGTGTGCTACCCTATCCGGAGGTTCTCCACATAGTCGAGTTAGAGGGCAAGGCCGAAGCATTGCAATGGTGGGCTAAGACATGGATAAATTCCTTGGTGGCTTGGTCTAACTTTGTGGTGTTAGGTTGCCCTCGCCCGGAGCGGTACACCCACGAGCCGCGAGTGACCTACCGATGTCTTGCTGATGCCCGTCGGTTCTCTGAAAGGTTGCTTGGCGAGGTTCTTGAATTTGCTACTTGGGAGATGGTTTCTGGGGAGTTTGTTTGCGAGGGCAAGAAAGCTGTCCTCGAGGCGTCCATCCAAGAGTTCCCATGTACAGGTGCATGTTATGGGCACATTCCGTTTCAGGATGGCGGGCACTCACCTTCGGTTGCTCTTGCTGTTGAGGCTGAGCGACTGGCGGTACCGGACAAGGCGGGGGTTGTCAATCCTTTAGATTGGCTGCCCGATGATCGCGCGGAGGTGGTCAAGCATCTGGCTGACATTCGATTGCCGGAGGCGCAGTGGGATGAAGTGCCAGTGGCGTGTCATAGAGTAGCTGAAGACGAAGAGCGGAAGGTGGCGGAGAAGTTGCTGCGCACCAACATGGCGGTTCTCATTCCGGAGGCCCAGTTGCCTCGGCGCGGTGACGGCAAACTTTTGACCGGAGGGCTCTTCTGCGTCAGCAAGAATAGTGCTGAAGATCGCCTCATTTTCGACAGGCGGCCCGAGAACAGCACCATGCCGAGATTGAGGTGGGCCGATCTTCCTAGTGGTTCGTGCTTTTGCCGATTGCTGCTGAGGGACGATGAGTATTTGCGGGGCAGCGGTGATGACCTGAGGAATTTCTATTACACGCTCCGGTTGCCTGAAGATTGGATCCCCTACAATTCGGTAGGTCGTCGTGTTGCACCTGAGCTGGTGAAGCGGTACGGCGGCAATCCCAGTGAACCTCATCGCTTGGCTTTCAGGGTTTTGGGGATGGGCGATAAGAACGGGTGTGATATCGCTCAGGCTGTCCACGAGGGTGTGTTGCAAAAGTTTGGCGTGCTGGAGCCCCAGACAACATTGGCCCACAAGCAGAAGGTCCCCCGTGAACCATTGTGGGAAGGTGCTTACTTGGACGACCTCCTCGTGGTCCTCCGGGTCAAGGCGGGCTTTCCTGTGCCCTTGGACGGCAGCTTCACTCCTTTGCCAGCGCAGGTTGCTGATGCCGACGCCCGCAAGATCGCTGCGGCCGAGCTGTCGTATGATGCAGCTGGCCTGGAGCGGGCACTCCATAAAAGCTTCCGCTTTGAGACTTTGTTCAAAGCGTGGGGTGCCGAGGTGGATGGCGTGCGAGGCAAGGTTGGAGCTCCCTTGGAGGCCCGACGACAGACCTGGAAGCTTGTGAGTCAGCTGGTGAACCTAGGGTGGGCTACCAAAACAATCCTGCAGCAGGTCATTGGTTATCTCTCCTTTGTTCTTCAGTACAGGCGGGAGCTTTATTGCTTGCAGCACCGGTTGTATGTGTACGTGAAGGATCTCCCTGACGGAAAATGGGTGTGGGTACCTAACTGGGTGTTGGATGAATTGCGGAGTTTGGCTCTTCACCTGCCGTTTGCATGCTGGAGGATGCGACGGAAAATCAGCTCGTCCCTGCTGGCGACGGACGCGACGCCCACCACAGGCGGAGCGGTTCGTGCCCCATGTCCGGAGCCATTGTCGCGGGAGTTGTGGAGAGAAGCCGAGTTTCGGGGGGAGCCCGTGAGGCTCGATCGGGAAACAGACTTTGCGCTAAAGGCCGAGAAGCCCATGGAAGCTTCCCGCATTGCGAGTGCGGCTTCAGAGTGTCTGAGTTGGTCGGTGACCGCGAGTTACTCGTTCCGGAGGACAAGCCACATCAATCTTCAGGAGGCCCGGGCCCTAAAGCGTGAAATTGTTCGCCTGGCCAATGTCTTCGAGCATGGCGACTGCATACAGCTGGCTCTCAATGACAGCCGGGTTGTTGTCGGC